CTACTGTAAAATTTGGTGGAGGATCCATCGTGCTATGGGGCTGTGTGGCAAGCACAGGTACTGGAAACCTTGTCAAAGTTGAGGGTCGCATGGATTCCACCCAGTATCAGCAGATTCTTAAGAACAATGTTCAAGAATCAGTCAAGGGATTGAAGTTACATCGGGGTTGGTTATTTCAGCAGGACAATGATCCAAAGCATTGTTCCAAATCTACCAAGTAATTCATGCACAGACACAGATACAGTGTTCTAGAATGGCCATCGCAGTCCCCAGACTTGAACATCATCGAAAATCTATGGAGTGATTTGAAGCAGGCTGTCCATGCTCGGAATCCATCAAACCTGACTGAACTGGAGACATTTTGCAAGGAAGAATGGTCCAAAATACCTGCAGCCAGAATTCAGGGACTTATCAGTGGCTATAAGAAGCGTCTACCGGCTGTTATTTCGGCAAAAGGAGGCTCTACTAAATATTGATGTAATTATTCCATTGAGGTGCCCAAATTTTTGCACCTGTCTGTTTTTGTTATGACTCACATTGCATTGTTTCTGTTCAATCAATAAATGTTATTTCAGAACTGAAATGTTACTGTTTCCATAAGGTGTAAATTATATCCAAAGGAAGTTACTGCTTCGAGAGCCCAGCAGATTATAAACTGAAATTATGATAATTATCAGGGGTGCCCAAACTTCTGCATAAACTGTATATCCAAACCACTTTCCCTGTAGGTTAGCAGGGATGTCACATTAATTGATCAAATATGGTAAAAACAGTGATATTGTGAAATTTTATTAACATTTAAAACAACTATTTTCTATAGTCCCCCCACTACAGTCAGAAATTCTACAGTCAGTTTTAATTAATTCAATGCGTCCTTTCTGAATAAAAGTGTTCAAAAACTCGGATACATTTTCATCCCGTCCTTCATTATTGATGAGAATATTTAAAAGCAAACTCTGCCCCCTAGCGACACATACTGTTTAGTGCAATTGCTCCATATTCCATATTCCACAAGTATTCATGTAAAGTTTCAAAGTATCATTCTATTTTCTGAATCACTGAAATGCATAACTCTGGATACTGTCAAGACAAACATATTTTTTCTAGCAGTCACATAGCAAACATATTCTTTATTAATTTGTTTAAGCAAATTCATAAAACAAAATATTCAAAACAAACAAAAAAATTACAATTTTTCATTGTCTTCAGGGGGACTGAAGATGATTCATTTCTTTCCATCATTCAGTCAAAAAAAAAAAAAGTGTTTCTCGTTCTCTATTTGTCGAGGGTTAATTCAATCTGAACCGCTCATACAAAGTCTTTCACAAATTCTAAGAATGATTGTTTCATAATTGCATGACCATGTGCAATGTTGTGGCGGCCGTGTGTGACATCACAGCCTATGTATTTGGTGAAATCACATAATCGGATGCTCTGTATGATCTTTATGGTCATAGTCAAACATGTCATTTCAAAGTTGAGAAACAACTGTCTGATGTTGCACTGCATTTTCAGGCCATATGTTACATTACGCTTTACTTCTGCTCAGATTAACTGCATGGTCATTTCATGTAATGATATTAAAGGCCATCTCATACAAATCTATTGTCATAGATACAACTGAAATACTAGGCAAAATTATGTTTCAACAGTGAGCAAGAAAGTTTAAAGGGGTCATATGATGCTTTTTTAAAGATCATTATTTTGTGTATTTGGTGTAACAGAATATGTTGACATATTTTAATGTTCAAAAAACACATTATTTTTCAAATACTGTATATACTGTATAGTCCTCTATGCCCCGCCTCTCTCAAACGCTTCGTTTTCTACAAAGCCCCCTCCTTGATATATGGAAGCACTGGTTATGGATTATTAGTGGTGTTTGCTAAAACAAGAATTACTATTACTATTCCTCATACTTAGGGATCTGAACAAACTCCTAAGCCTAAATATTACACTTAAAAACTATTAGACTATCATAGGAACTTGGAGGTGAGCTATTTTGAGTAAGCAACTGCATAGAAATGCACTAAAAAAAACCTCTGCGACCACATAGCAACATCCTAGCAACCACTGTCAAACCCTGTCATCATTGAGTTTTGCACTGGCAAGCACTACTTACTTTCTTAAAGAATAGTTCACCCAAAAATTAAGAATGCTGAAAATTTACTCACCCTCAGGCCATACAAGATGACGACGAGTTTGTTTCTTCACTGGAACAAATTTGGAGATATTTAGCATCACATCACTTGCTCACCAATGGGTCCTCTGCAGTGAATGGGTGCCGTCAGAATGAGAGTTCAAACAGCTGATAAAAACATCACAATAATCCACAAGTAATCCCCACCACTCCAGTCCATAAAGTAATCTCCTATGAAGCGAAAATCTGTGTTTGTAAGAAACAAATTGATCATTAAGACACTTTTAACCTCAAATGTTGCTTCCGACTTAAATGAGTCCTCTAAGGTCTTGATGTTTCTTACAAAAACACAACTTTTCACTTCACATGATCTTAGATGATGAACTGGAGTTGTGTGCATTACTTGTGGATTATTGTGATGTTTTTATCAGTTGTTTGGACTCTCATTCTGACGGCACCCATTCACTGCAGAGGATCCACTGGTGATGTAATGCTAAATTTCTCAAAATCTGTTCCAATGTTCATCTACATCTTGGCTGGCCTGAGGATGAGATAAATTTCAAACAAATTTTCATTTTTGAGTGAACTATTCCTTTAAGGCAATATACAAAATGTATATTGTTCTTTAAAACCTTGAGAAATAAATGTATAAAGAATGTAACGGCAACAATCTATACAACTAGACCCATTTGTAATAACATTTTGACTTGAATTCTTTGGCCAACCTATCCACAACACTAAAGAGCTCTTTGAGCAAATATCCAGCAGACCAATAACGTGATTCCGCTTTCGGTCGCCAGCGCTTCCCGTAACTCCTGCTCACCTAACGTCCCATTCTGTTGCAAATCCCGCCTCTTACCGGCTCCTTCTCCTCCCTTAACCCTTTTGGAAAAAACCCATTCAACCTTCACTGTTCTCTCTCTCTCTCTGCCTTGCTCTCATCGCTCCTGTGTCAGTGTTGCCAGACGTACGATAATTATCGTATTCGTACGATAATTTTGACCTCTGTACGATCAATAATGAAAACAATCCCATAATGTACAAAAATTTCATAATTTTATGACAATTCAAATGATGGTAGTTGTAGTCATAGGGCTTCTATATTCATACACGAAATCGGCTCATTACAGACACTCTAAATGCGCTCGCGCACACCTCAGAGTGTGTGAAGAATGCAGGTCGGTGCCCTGCTTTAAAGCCAACGAGTATGGCAAAAACCCCCTCAACATCTGGCAACACACAGGCTTCCGATGACAGCGGCTCAGATGTGGAGTTAACAGCTAAAGTCTGTCTACACTGGACGCGACAAAGTACATCAGTTTACTGTCGGGTAAAAACCGTGTCGTGTCGCATCCAGTGCAAACAGTTTATATTCATAGGTTTCATGTGACGTCACACAGTGGTGCGGCCGCCATTTGTAGGACCGAATTGCAATTCCGTCGATCTGCTGTGCTGTGCTCTGGGCTGTGATGACAGCAAATCACAATGGATTATTTACCAAGAGATGTGGATGTATGGGGATTCTTTTGATTAAATATTTCTCGTAAGCATAGATGAGTTTTTATATTTTAGCAAGTTCATAATGAAACTTGCAAAAGGTTAAATTTGCGTGTGAGACTGATGATTTGCCAGAAAACTTTCGTTATGCTCCACCTAAAGCTAATAAGTCAACGAGATGTAAATAAGGATCTAATCTTAAAGTATCTATTTTTTAAAAAATACCATTGTTTTCCGTTGTTGGTGAAGTGTTATTTTGGTTTCCGATTACCAAGGAGAGGCTACGCAAAGTCCTAAAGATGGCGGCCGCAACAAAAAAGTCACGTGACTGAAACCCATGAATAGTATTTTGTCACACTGCTGGCGTCCAATGTAAACACGGTACACCTAGTTATCTATTGTGGTATTTTGCAGGTCGTGTCAAAAAGTGTTGGTTTAGATAAATAGCTGTATTCTGTACGTTTGACTCGTGTACGATAATTTTCTTCCAAATACGATAATTTTGAGCTTCTGGTACGATACTTGGACATTTCCAATCTGGCAACACTGCTTTGTCCTGATTGGTTCCAGATCTGCTCCACTCGCTGACTCGACATTCCACAGCTGGCCACAGCACCGTTTCACCTCGAGGCCTTGCCAAGAGCCGAAGGAAAAAAGGAAGGCGAGAAAATATGGAAAAGTTAAGAGCTGAAAAGAATGAGAGAAAGTACAGATAAAAGAACAACGTTTAAGTTTCATTCCCTGAACTGTTTGGATTCAGATTTTACATGAGCTCATCATACCGGCTGAGATCAAGCAAACGGTTACAGTGAGGTCAGACTTCCTGTTGGGCAGCTCTGTGTTCACCATTTGATTAGAGAGAGAGAGATGGCGGTGCTTGTGACAGGCTCATTCTCATGCACTTTCATCTGTCTATTTCTGTCCGCAGTCTTTTTTTTTTGGTTCTGCACCACTGAACTTCAAACATAGAATCGTTTCATTTGATGTGTAATTATTATGATTATCATTTTTAGATTAATCCATGAGGGACCCGCATTCTGACCCAGAGAACATCAAATTCAGCTGCACAAATTTTAAAAATCATCAAAACAGTCACAACAAATAACTTCAAAAGTCACAGTCTGAAGAAAAAAAATACTGTTGTGGAGTTACCTTGTAGTTTGTGTGATTGTGTGTTCTCATAGTCTGGAAGTTTAAAGGGGTCATATGATGCGATTTCAAGTTTTCCTTTCTCTTTGGAGTGTTACAAGCTCTTGGTGCATAAAGAAGATCTGTAAAGTTGCAAAGACTAAAGTCTCAAATCCAAAGAGATATTCTTTATAAAAGTTAAGAGTCAGCCACAGCATCATATGACCCCTTTAATGGAAGTTCAAGTCAATGTGATATTTGGGGGGACTTTGATCCCTTTTGGCACTAAAGAATAACTATGACATGAAAAAAATATGCATATAAACTGAATTTCCAAACCGGACTAACAAAAAACAATCTTCCACACTAGCCAATCCAAACAGCTCATCTGAGATGGTGGAATTTGATTGGTTGACAGGCTTAAATGGATGTAAACGAGTTTTGCCTCTGTTGATTTTGGTTGATATTATATGCTGCGCTCTACACAGCTCTCTCAATGTCTCTGGAAAAAATAAACACAACAACAAAACCGCAGCTCTTTTTTTTCTTTAAACATAAATTCTCTGTCAGTTGCTGCCATAGCAGATTTGTTTTCCTAGGTGTTTTGAATCAGTTTGAACATATCCAGCATTATTCGCCCTGTTCGTTTAACTCCATGCCTGAAACGAGAATGTTTTTTTCAGCTTCTTCGGAGGGGGCGGAGTTAGTGCGGCTGTACCGAGCACTCTCGTAGGCGCCCGTGGAGCCGAAGCTCCGCCTACGATACAGATAAATCCCTCCCACCACCAGAGCAATCAGAATGAGTGCTGCAACCAGGACCTGAATTAATACATGGAGATGGTCGACCACAGCTGGAAGAAAGAGAGAATAAAAATATTCAAACAAAACATTCAAAACATCTTCATGGGTGTTCATTTAATACACGTTTTTCAACTTTGTCAACATATTTTAGGTAAATATGAGGTTAAAAAATTATTAGAACTTACAATGAACGACAGGCTCTGCTGTGGTTCCTATTTTTTAAAAAAAGAAAGAGGAAAATGTGAATTATTATATTGTATATTATAATTAAAATAGGATTACTGTCATACATTCTCAGCTATTTTTTTCCCTGAGGTCAACTTAGACAAGGTTTTTTGGACATTTCTCATCATGACCATGGCCATTTTTCACCTGCTTATTCACCCTTAGAACAATACTGTGCTTTTATTGCTGTGCCTTTGAGAATTCTATGCAAACCAGTCATTTTAATATTATTTATGTGCTATTATAGTACTCATTCATTTTGAATTAGCTTTTTAAATTTCATTTGTTTAGGTTCTAATTTTAAATTAGAACCTAATTGTAAAATAATCCATGTGACAGTGGTTCATCCGCAATTATACAAAGCTACGAGAATACTTTTTGTGCGCAAAAAAAAAAAAAAACCCACTTTATTCAACAATTCGTCTCCTCCGCATCCCCCTGTAGTCCCATTTTGGAGAGTATCAGCTGAACGTAAACAGCGTATGCTGTTCTGTGTCAGTTGCGTCACACGGATACGCTGTTCTTGTAGCTTCGTATAATTGCGGTTGAACCACTGATGTCACATGGATTATTTTACAGATCTCCTTGCTACGTTTCTGGACTTGGGAACATTTCAGTTGCGTTGCGGTCTAAGCAGGGTCAGACAGCTCTCAGATTCTATCAAAAATATCTTAATTTGTGTTCCGAAGATGAACGAATGGGAATATACTTCAGAGATATTTTACTCATAATAATTTCTAGGTGTGCCAATAATTATGGCAAACATGCATTTAAGAAAAACTATTATTTTCCCCGCAATTTCAATTGTTTTACTTCAATGAAAGGTTAGAATTTTGTGAATTTTTTTAATGAAAGATCAAAAAGATAAACGATGCAGATTGATTTTTAAAGCGACCTT